TCTGAAGCAAGACAAAAATTTGTTTTAAGGGATGTGGAACTACAGAAGAGGTGTGTTAGTCAGAAGCCAAGTTTCTTTATGGCTCGTATTTTATATAGCTGATAGCACAGAGTCACTAATGGATGAGACAGAAGTGCCATCTTTATAGGGACAGTCAGAAACCCAATTCTCTGCACACACTGACAAGTGAACCCCACAGATACTTCATTGTGTATCCTCCATGTACAACTGTAAAGAACATGTAAAATTGTAACTGCCTTTACAACTACTTTAATTGGATCAACATTCAGGTGAAGCTGAATGTTAACCAGCATTTTGGCTAGTTAATTTTTTTTTCCAAAATGTCACTCCCTGCCCCAACTCCAATGCTAGCTGACCTTATCTTGGGCTATCTCATGTTAGATGCATTATTCTGTACACGACTAGTTCTGAGCTGCCATCCTCAATCCACAGATCTACCCAAATCCAGCCTGTTCCACTGCAAATTACCTGATGCCTCCTTATTTGCTCAGAGATGTCACAAAGTACCATGATTCGCTCCAATCCATTCCAAGATCCCCAATAACTATCTCTAGCTGAGACACTTCAGCGTTAGATGAGTCTTTTCTGCAGAAAAGAATGTATATAACAGCATACAAATTAAAATGCCAGTCGTGTTGGAGCTCTGGAACAAATCCTACAGTTCCATTTGTCTCCACTCTTCCTAATTACTCTGCAGGGCCATGTATCTCTCACTGCCAGCTCTGGGACACTGAATCACAAGAGAAGTGCAGTTTCTTGGAGCCTGACACAGCCTTCGGCTCAGCTGGATTTTGTCTCTGATTAATTCAACCTGTCAGTAGGAGTCTCTGGGCAGAATGAAGGAACCTGTCACCCTCTATGTTTCTGATGAATACACCTTCTCAGAAGGTGTCTGGAGATCCATCAACAATCTTAATTAAATCCAAACAAATAGATGACAGCTAATCATTAAGGGAGTGGCTCTCTTGGGACAATGGCTGAAGAGTGAATATGCAAGAATGGTAAGGCAGACGACTGCTTGTCTAACACAGAAAAGCATGTTTAAACAGTGATGCCCTGATGGCTGTGTTTCAATTAAATTTATCCTGTTCCCAGTCCTTTAGGAGTTATTTGTTCTTCCACACCAGTTAAAACTACCCTCTGCCAAAGTGCAGGAAGGGCATTTCTGCTGTGATTCTCCAGCTGCTGCACTCTACAGTTCACTACCAAAGAAAGAATCTCATTCTTCTTTCCCTCCAAATGCACACATCCAGTGTTGCTTGGCTCTCATTCTACTTACCATCACAGAGGACTGAGAAATCCTTCAGTTTGAAAGTCACTATAGTGACAGAAATAAGAAAAGGCAGGTTTTTTCAGTTCTAGATATTATCAATGTATTGATAGGTATTGAATCAATATTTTCCAGTGAGGTTATTTAATTCCTAGATATTGCAGTCATTGTTAAAGGACAGAAAAGAGACTGCTAGGTTCAGTATATAAAATACCCAGCTTCTTACTGGAAAAATAGGCAGCACCTGGTATCACAGTTTTGGCAGGAGAATCAGAACTTCAGCTTGTCTAATGCAATTAATTGGATTGCTAGAATTTAATCTTCTATTAGACACTTGTTTCTCATCTCTCAGAGGGCATATATTTATCCCTACCTTGTCAATCCTTAGACAGTATCAATAGAACCTACTAGCATTTCATATAAGCAGCAATGAGATAACTATTCTTAGAACATTAATGCTAGTGAATAAAACTATCCTGACAGCTCTGAAATCTTCCTTCTAGTCCCACAGTAAACAGGAAAAATGCATGACAAGCAGCAAAGTGACTCACCCTAGGTAGCAGAAACCTACCAAAAGATTTAGAGAGCTAATCTCTTTATCATCTTCAGTATTTTATATATTTGCTTAAACTCTCAATTAGTCTCAGACACCTGTGCTATAGGAACTTAATGAAGAAAGATGCTGTTTATACTGTTCAGAGTATCATATCAGCCTTCCAGTAATCACAATATAAGTGATGACACTGAACCACTGCCTAGCTGGTTTGGATTCAAAGCAGTGAAGTGAGAAATCCAGTTAGCAGTCAAGAACAGAGATCAGAAACCTTCTTCCAAAATATTAGTAATTGCTGCAATGACCTTCCCCCTTGCCTGTATTCACATACTTGTACTAGTAGAAAGACATTTAAAATTGTAAATTGAATTAATTTTGGCTAAGACTGGCAGTAGTCCTTGGACATTCTATAGCAATCCTTTCAAATGCAGTATTATGTAAATTAATCTCAAACTCTTCAAGGGTAGGACACCCAGCTTCTCCTCCTGCCTCTTCCAAATAGCAGGAGAGAGATGAAAGAAAAAACCCTAGCTGTAGAACCACCTTTAGTCAACATTTTGCAGTCCTTGCTGTGCAGCAAAGTGGATGTTGTGAAGGTCAGTCAGCAGTCTGGAACAGAACTGCAACCACAACTCCTTAAGTAGCTAGGGAGGATTTCCACCTCTCCTGCCCCTTTGCCTGGCAGCCATACGAGTTATTCATACTATGTACTGTAAGAAACCCTTCAGCCTTAATTCCTGCACACCATGTGCAGTAGGTGAAACACATTTAGTATATCAATGTAGGCAACAGACATACTGTTGGACATGTTGTGGCATACAGGAGACAATAAAGCTAGTATGATCTCTTACCACAGAAAAAACTGCTGTAACAAGAGAAAAACAGGCTTGGTTGAGCACCTTGGGTGTGAGGAGTGGTAGCAGATATTCATTACCTGTAAGACTATGAAACAGTTAAACCTAGGACAACACTAAAAACTCTGAAAAGAAAGCTATTGAAACTAGCTCGTTACCCTTAGCTACAAACTAGAAGTTGTACTTCGAAAAGCTCAAGACAAAACCACAGAATATCTGTGATAAAGTTAACTTTCATACTTGTGTTAAGAAGGGATATAGCATTCATAAACACTCAGGCTTGGCAGCAGTCATGACGCTCAAAACACCAGCCTTCTGCAGTACATACACATATCAAAAAAAACAACCACCACCAAAAAAAACCAACAAACCAAAACAAAAAACCCCACAAACCCTCCTGTAGGACTAAGAAAAAAACTCCAAACTTGTTGACTGGTGAGTGTAAAATATTGAGTACAGATAATAAAAGAGTGGAGAAGGAATACTTGGCTATGAACTAGCAAATTAATGAATCGGGAGTAAGTTTTTATCTAGTTTGCTAGCTACTCTTAAGTTTGTACCTCCTGTTATTCCTGTAAGAATACATTAAATGTAGCATGTCTAATCTTGCAAACAGCAGATAAATATAACAAATACTGGGACTTAGTTATAAATCCCACACTTAAAGAAAACCTACTTAAATTACAGGATAAAATGGCAAAAGCAGAATGTGCTGGTGTCTGGTTCTTATTTTTGTTTAGTACAAAAAGCAAGATCGGAATTTCTGACTATGCTGACAAATCCTTGAATAAAAGAAGAGTTTTGAGATACAGCTAATCAAGAGAACCATGCAGTCAAAGAAGACAATTATTTTCTGAACAGAAACATGAAGTATCATCTGAGGTAACTGCAGGTAATTGGTAACCCAATTTATTTAAATGTCATAAAACTGTTCAGTAGAAGTTGACATTCAGAACTAGAGCAGTCTTAATTTGTTTTATCTTAATTTGCTTCTCAAGCACATTGTGGCCACTTCAATCCTGAACACACATACCTGTAATCTTAGTGTGATTTGAGTAATCCACTTCAACAACTAAATCAGATATGTTCACTTAGGTATTCATGTCTCCTGAGTAACTGAAAAAAAGGAATGTAAACTGATGAATGCATTTTAACTGAAGAACCATTTGTTACTATTACTACAGTACAGACAGAAATAGTAATTTTCTCCTAACTTTTATTAACAAGCTTCAGACTTCCCACAGCAATGCCTCAACTGCCTTACAAAAGGAAATTATCTCACAGATTGTAGACCTGCATTACTAATATTCTGCTTTGGCAGGGATAAACCCTGGCTAGTCAGGAGCTACTTCTGAAGAGGGAGGAGAACTGGAGAAATAAAATACCATTATACCATTAGAGACATCACTGCAGTGTGGCCATATTTGCCTGTGCTTTTAAACCTGTGACACTAAGTGAATTATTTTCCCTTCAGTGCAAGATCAATTATTTCAGAAAGGTACCAAACACAGCAGGGAACAGTGGACTTCATTTGTCTCTGTAAGAGATACACACTATGCAACCAAGAAGGTCATCCCTTTTAGGAACTCCAGTAACAGACCAGGATCATATTGTATTATTGGTAGAGATACAAAATCATTTCAGTGCACCTTGTTCTGATTATCCACTTCAGAACAGGAAGACTGCAAGGTTTTTATCCAAACTTCAGAAACAATCCAGAAAGGCACCATTGCTAAAACGTATTTGTCTTTGCAGAAAGCTGCAGATACACAAAAAAAACAAATTAGAGAACACTGAATCTCTGGTATTAAGAAGATAACAAGACAAAAAGATTAGGGCTGGGATTTCAGTTTTGATGGAAACTTAAAAAGAAGCAAAGCATACTAATTTTACTCTAGTTCTGCACAAAACCAGGCAATACACTTTTTGATGTGAAATACTTTGTTGAAATTATAAATTAAGTAACTTCATCTGTCATCCCACTGTATGTATCACCTGGAAAGTTAGCAAAAGAGGAAAATTAGGCAGTAAGTGACCTGCACATAGGTATTGAGTCAACCTGAAAAGTATGAGAACTTGAGGCATGCTTCCTTGGGGAGAAGTGACTTTATTGCTGTAATTTCATAAGGCACAATTGCTCTCCACAGACATTTGTCTTCTGTAATTCCTTCACTGGAAAAGCCATTTGTTAATAGCAGCTAAAAGTACACCTTAGTGAGAAGAATAAATGACTGATAAAATACTTATAAAAAGCTATTAATATTTTAGAGAATAAAAAAAATCCCTGAAATAACTGAGGGCATTTGAACATGAGTTTGAAGAGGTGTTCCTCTGAAGTCATGTAAGCCACAAAAGCTATAGCAAATGCAAAAGGAGATTAAACCCCTATTTTTCTCCATCTGTTGACACGTGCAAGTCAGGAGTGGCCTCATACCACGGAGCTGAAATTCAAATCAAAGCAGTTGCTAAGATCCCACTGCTAAAATCCAATCCAAACAGAAGTTTACTTAATGCACCAGAAAAAAATAAGTCTCTGTGAAAATTTTTAGTCCATTTCAAGGCAAACATTTGGAGCAAGGTAAACATTCGTAGTCTCAACTTTCAATGCAATTTTCAAATCAAGCTCTTACAAAGATAGGTCAGTGTTGCCTTGTCCTCTTGAGGAAAATCTCATGCATATAGTCCCAAAATCTTCCCTGATGTGACTCATTGTGATGAATCATAGCAGTGAGGGCCTCACCCTGATCAAGGCTTTGCCAGTAATCCTGCAGCCACATCTCTTTCCAACTGAAACAAAAAAGAGACACAATCATAAACTATGAAAAAAACAAATGAGTCTGCAGCTGGTAATAACACTGAATCATGTTTTTTCTTTCACATATGAGGAAAATAGACCCTGAGATGGTCATGACAAAGTATGCTGCTATCTTGCCATTGTACTCCAAATCATTTAAAGAAGTCTGCTGTGAAAATTGTCTACAGAAAATGTAACTTCAATGCTACCTTTACAACATTCTGGAAATACCAGCATGTGACTTCAGTGTTAACCAAAGAGATGAAATTATTAACTGTAGAGAATAAAAACATCTATTAAAACAAAATCTAGCACAGAGTCCTTATAGAATTTTGGTAGTCACCTTCCATGTCCAGTATGTATTTAACAGTTTGCCTAAGAATCCATTATTTTTTTTCAGATAAAACCATTTAACAATTAGAGAGTGACAGCTACTTATTACAAACTCAGGTGATACACAGCAGAGACAAAAAAAATTTTCTATTTCCAGACTACATGGTTGCTCATAGGCTCTTTTTCAATGTGTACATTCAGAAACTTCTCATAGCACTATATCACTGAAATCTTCAGCGATTCCCTTCCTGTTCATCATCACGTGGACTACTTCTCTCATTTGTGTTATGTTAAGGTACTACAATAATTTATTTATCTCTTCTCCATTATATCTGCTACGCAGTCAGATAAGGCTATCACAAATTTTGAAAAGAAGAACCAAGCATGCTGCTCTTTTTAAAATCTACCCGTATGAGTTACTCAATACCTGCTAACTTACATATGGAGCTTTGGCTTCTTCTCCCTCCCTATCACAGGAATAAGTACAGTGCCTTTCGTGTTATAAATCACATATTAAAGCAAGCACGGCTGCACTGCTCAGAAGCAAATCTCACCCACTACACCAGGAAAACCAAAAGAAATGTACATGCACGACATGTAAAAAACACTTTGTGGAGCAGCATACAACTTGTACACCATGGGAACTAATTTTCTGTGGTCAACAGCATCATCTATAGTGGGACATTTCTGCAGTGTACACCAACAGAGACCCCAACATAAACTTTTAACATAGATTACAATATGAAGGATCACAGAGGCTTGCTTCTGCATTAAAAAAAAAAGTCTGTCAATAGGTTCCTTTGTAAAATGCATGTACTGTGAGATCACATTGCTTAACAGCTAAATTCATTAATCTTTGTTCAAAGACTGCCAACATGAGCTACTTGTTTTTACAGCACTGAATTAGGGCACATGTTAGGAAAAGGAGCATGCTTGCTTTAAGTAGTAGACACCACAGTAAGTGGCAGCAGGTAACAGAAAAAAGAAAACGTTTTCCAGCTGAACTCTATAGAAATGCTGAAAGGAATCCCAGTATATTTTCTTTTTACATTGCTGTTACTGGTTTTTAAGAAAATAATTTCATTCTGATTCTGTAACTTGGAAAAAATGGTATCCCTAGATGAACAGGACTGTACAAATATCCATAAACTACTAACTACATACACCTGAAATGTTATTACCATGAGGTAGAGATCCAACTTAAATCCTGGCAGACTAGTGGATTCTTACACCTTACAGTGTACCTGTGGTCAATCTGATAAGCTTTTAAGATGGGTTTTCTTGTCATAAATAAACATTTATATAAAATGGAACTAGCCAAAAGAAATTAAAACTTCAGGTAACTGAAAAGGTATAATTCAGTCACCTTACAGCTGTCCTCTCAAATGCCTCATTTTTGGAAAATGAATCCTTATCAATGAAAGAAATTAAACTTTTCTCTTCACAAGGGTGGAAGACCAAGGATAAGTGGATATTCTGGTATCTATTAAACACATAATCTACTCACTATTTTCTGTAAAAAGCAGTCAAGAATTCAGCATATTACAGTATGATAACCTAACACATTCAAATGGCTGTTCCACAGCCATTCTGCCTAAGTTTACTTGGGCATGAAGCCCAGAAATCCAAAAGTCTCAATACTAGAGAGGCTGCAAGCTAAGGATTGACAAACCACGTCTCCACACTTAGAGCTAAAGGACAGCAAGGTGAAGGTGTAACAATGTGCTCCAGCAACATACACCTACACAGAGAGAGATTCTGATGCCAAAGTTCTGTCAAATGAGCACATTCATCAAACTAAATACAAATTATATCTGTGAATAAGGGTTACAGACCACACAGATGCACAGGGTAAACTTATTGTAAATGGGCACTTGCTATAAAAATATACAGTTAGACCTTGTATGTTGCATAAATTCTATTGTTTGTAACCCCACTAGGCCTGCTTCATTTTTCCACAATAATGCTTTCTCAGGTAACAAAATACAATTGACTGGCTCAGTAAACAATAATCTAAATGGATCATAACATTGGCATAGTATTATTCTCAAATTCTGACAAATATGAGCATGTTTAGTTAATACTTTGGTGGCAATTTTATGTTACTGTCACACCATTTAAAATTCTAAGTAATCATGTTCAATTTTGGAGATAAAACAGTGAAAGCTCAGATGCTTACAAGATAGAAACCACTATATTTCACTAGAGATCCCCTTGGTCACACCTCAGAAGTTACAGACACCTATCTTTCTAAAGTAGATTAACAGATGATGTAAAAGCTTCCCTGGTACAATTCTTCCAGACACATCTCATGTCTACAAACACGAGGAGAATAATACACTATGGTTGAATGAGACATGGAAACTTCTGTGGGATGCAATGGTAGCTTGGACTACAGACTAACTGTTCAAAACCCCTTGCTGATGACCAGTGCACAGAATGATGGAGTATCTGAGCTTGCAAGTGAGTGGCACAGATGCCCCTGCAGTGCCTTCACAGATATTTCTCTACAGCCATCTGCTGTTCAAGCAAATGATAATCTGTGAAAAAGTAGAGAATACTCTCATGGAGCAGGATGTTGAATAGCACACTACAAGGGAAAAGTGCATTTTGCTACCAAGACTGAGAAAAAAATATCACTATAAAAAAGTTCCTATAGATTGATCAACCAACACAAAGGATTACGGGCCCCTTTTACTTACAAGCATAACGTTTCAATTACTAAATATGATAATTAATTGTACTGTGAAAAATGCTTTTTAATGACAAAGATAAGTTTTATGAAACAGGCATTTCCTAAAGAACCTGAATGACCTCAGACTTACTTTCCTTTTTTAATTTCAGTCAGCCATTTTTGAAAGTATCCAAACATAGGACTAAGTAGTTCCGCACACTTCATACTTCAAAATTCTTCATACTTCTTCATGGATGGATAATGTAATAAAAAATGTTTTTGAGCTTATATCCACTTGGAACTGGGAGAGTGTACTTGAAATTATGAATTCTACATTTTCAATATACTGTTTCTTCTAACATTTTAATTCTCCGAAGCACTCCATTTCTTATTCTAGGAAATTATTAACAGAGATATATATTGATATAAACCAGGATAGAGTATATTGACAACTTCTTTCTGGACAGTGCATGAGAACTTTCCAGTTTAAAAAGTAATTTATTGAATGTTACAGTAGAGATTGACATCAGAACACTGAAATCTTTGGTGATAGTTATGAACATAGGCAAGATCTGCTATGGCTGATGTTTTCTCTTTATGATAGCTGTCTGATGGCTCATAGAAAGCAAACTGCATGCACTTGAGTAATTACCTAAAAAGACAAAATTTGTTGCAGGCAACACAAAGAAAAATTACAAAGCTGGGGATCCAAACTTATTAACACTAGTAATGCACACTACAAGAAGAGCACACATTTCACGAACTACAAGAACCTCTCCTTCCAGCAACTGCAACTTCAAACACTGTCAGTGGAAAAACTCAGGGTTTGGGAACACAAGCACCGACTTATTCTGTACCAATGCACGTATAAATACTAAGCAGACCATGCAAACAAAACTTCATTCTGCCTGTCAGAAGTGGCTGCCTAAGGGTTCGTGTGGTTAGCCTCTTGCTGACAGATGTCAGGGCAGCTTGCAACAGAAATGGTTAACACTGGGCTATAGACCTAGGAGATTCCATAAACGCTTACAATCCCTGTGCACAAAGTGGGGGAAGAAACTACTCCATGTATTCTCTGCCCAGTGTGGCCCCTTCTAAATAAATGGGATGGCGTCCTTCAACACAAGCAGGATTTTGTCACACAAAAACCCAAAACGTCCTGTAAAGTATTCTGGGTGAGCCTAACTTCTGTTCTAAAGCCAACAGGAGTTACCTAGGCCTGTGTTACCCAACACTGTGGCAACCTCATTCTTAACACCGTACTTTGTAATGAGGCAGAGAGCTTCTTTCACCCAAGGGGTACCAAGTGCTTTACCATCACTGTACTGAAAAACATCACTCCTCCAAATAAAAAGGCTAAGATAGACAAAGCATCATCAGCATTATGGGTGCCTCATGCTTCTCATTAAGCCACTAACCAACACCTGTGTTCAAACCTTTTTCAGCCTCAGTGTTACTCAATATTAGCAGAACTACCATACCACCCACAAGACACAACTGGAAGTGTAACTGGAGATACACAGAGAGATGCTTTAAGTACTGGGCATTATTAAAAGCTACAGATACTATTATTTTAAGTTGGGTTTTTTTCCCTTTAAAAAGCATAGTATTGGTACATTACCCGTCTCCTCCAGAGAGGTCTTCAACGCTTCCGAAACCAGGGGTTGGCATAGGACATCCCATATGCTGGAACTGAGCTATGTGAGGTCTGGGAGCTGGAATCTTCCCATGAGACTTTTTGTGTTCCTGCTCCTGTTTGACCCGAGTATTCTCCCTGTCACAGATGAAACACTCGAAGCCATTCAGATAATTGGGCAGAGTCATGTCGTTCACACCCCACTCCCGCTGCGCCAAGCTCTCTAACAAGAACTGATTTTTTACTCCACCAGGGTTTTTATACTCTAGATACTTCGTATACTCCTCTCCATTCTTGTCCAGGAAATCAAGATACTTTGCCAGCTCTTGAGGGCTGTCGAAGTCGTCTATGAGAATGATGGAGAGGTTGTTTGGCATCCAGTCCCGCACAGCTGGGGAGCCTCGGTATACTGGAACAGCACCCAAGTGCATTGGACGCCACAGCTTCTCTGTCATGTAGTCATCACATATGGCATTCTCCATGGCCAGATGAAACTTGTACCTGGCAATAAAAGTCATAAATTCAGAATCTTCTGTAGTGGCTGTAGAAGTGTCGCTCAGTCGCTCACTGGGAAGCTCACGGTTATGCAGGCATTTCCCGTAGGAGTCAACCTAAAACACCAATGGGCATCTTTACAAAGTGATATGTTTGCTGGAGCTTGTTTTCAGAGCTTGAAGTTCCTGTAAAATTCCTAACTTTGATCAGTTCCTACCTACCTACCTTAGTTTACCTTCACTTTCACTCCAAGTTTTTTCCCTTGTTACTAATTCCAGAGTCCCAGTTTTAGCAGCGGAAACCAAGTGCTCAGTTTCACTACTTTTCCAAAGAGTGCACACAGTTCCTGCCAGTCTCAGCAGACTGGCAAGAAGTTTCCATCTGTTAGGCTGAGAAAAACTGATGCAGAGAGCTAAAAGAATACTGCCTAAAAACGAAAGACAAGGCGCTTGATCTCAAATCTGTTTCATACTTTGACAATTCAGTCACATTTAAATAATTTTGTCTTTGCTTAGTGAGGACATGATGAACTTGCACAATAAATTGCTATCAGTAGAAACATCAGAAACTACTAGGAAAAAGACTTTTCAGATAAAGACTAAGAACATGTGCTCTTTTCTTTTTCGAATCCACTACCCTTCAAAACTTTTACAAAGTAAAAAAAAAAAAAACAAAAAACTTTTTTTTTCTGCCTGAAACATTATTTCAGTTTATAAATCTACTCTCCATCAGCTGTACCACAGCAGTTCAAACCACCACAGAAATAACATGGTCCTATCACACTGCAGATAAGGAGCAGAGTCCCAAAACACCATAACCTGTCTATTCACTTCAAGCCCATACTTTTAAATGGGAGCAGGGCTTACAAATGGATAACTTTCCTGTACAGTGACTTAAAGGCTCACAGATTTCAGCAATTTCTTGCACTTGGTCCGCAAAACCAAGCTTATTTGGGTTTAGCCCAACTTCAATCTCATCCCAAGTCTGGCCAACTCCATCACTAACAGCTACCATCAGGCCTACCTACTGGCATGCGGTGTAGTCTAGACCAATGCTTTAGGAAGGAATACAACTAGATTTTCTGTCCAGCTCGTAGTCAGCATGCATCCCGTTACGATTCGTGTGTTGGCTAAAAACAAGGACAAACACACCCCATTAAAAAGAGGAGCCGGAGGGGGGGGGGGGGCAGGCAGGCCCGGCT